TCCTCATTTGGGTTCCCTATATCTTGAATGATTTCTTGGGTGAGTAAGATATTTTCACTGATAGATCTGCCCTTTACAAAACCATTCTGATTACAACTGATCAAGTCATGTAAAATAAAACTTAGTCTAGAGTTAAGGAGTTTAGCAAAAATCTTACTTATCATATTGCAAAGACTAATAGGTCTAATATCATTAAAATATTGGGGAAAAGGGACTTTAGGAAGCATAATTATACAAGTATGAGTAAACCACTTAGAAATGTTAGCACCACAAAAAATAGATTTGAAAGAGCGGATAATATCAGGGGAAACAATAGACCAACAAGATTGGAAGAATTTAGCAGTGAATCCATCAGGGCCAGGAGAACTATTTGAGCCTATAGAGAAAACTCATGTTTTCAACTCTTCCTCTGTGGGAAAAGCAATCAATTTTTATTAATATCCTCTGAAACAACTGGGTCAATAATATTCAATTTAGAGTAGTCATTATACTCAGGTTTCTGACTAAAAATTCCCTGGAAATATCTCGATGCAACTTCAGAGACTTCTTTAGTTCCTTCCACCCATTGTAAATATTCATTCTGAATCTTGTTGATGCCCAATTTCCTTCTTTTATCCTTGATCACATTATGAAAGTAAGAAGTATTAGAATCACCTTCAGAGAGCCATTTAACTCTAGCTTTCTGTCTCAATATAAAATCCTGAATTTTGAGATATCTAATATATTCAGCCTTTGATTTGTACAACTTGGTTCTATTGCCCCCGCTGTTATCATTCATCAGAATCATTTCAAGGTTAGAAATTTCTCGCTCGAGTCTTCTAGGTTCTTCATGAATGTCTCCATAAGCTTCTCTTGACCAGGAACTGAGTTTGGAGGCAGTCCTTTTAAGCTTCTGGTATAAGGACCAAAGAGGATTACCTTGGATATCCTCTTCCCATATACTTTTGACGACATTAGAGAAATCCTCATGATCCGGCCAGAAATTGAGAAAATTAAAGTACCTTACATTAACCTTTTTAATAAAGCTGAATTGGATAAGAAGTGGCACATGATCAGAATATGTATTAGCAGGGTGGGTAACAGTAGTCCTACCATACAATTCATACCATTGTGAGTTATAAACCATCATATCAAGTCTCTTCCATATAGTATTGGGAGCTCCCATGTTATTACACCATGTAATCACATTGCCAAGATACCTTGCATACCACATTCCCTTAGGCATTCTAGAAAGTCAAAACTCTTGTTGATTCTATAGAAATTGCCTCCTCTTTTTTCCTCTGGAGCTGTGATAACATTAAAATCACCCATCATAGCCCAATAACCTGTAAGAGTGTTGGATAGATTGAGCAGGTCAGTCCAAAGATCCTTCCTCAAAATTGTCCTATATTTAGCATAAACAAATGAACAGTGGAATTGAGTATTTGTACAAATATGAGATATTTTGCAAGCTACTAGTTAATCAGTGTCTTTGACAATATCAACAACAAAATCACTGGACCAGAAGACCAAATTTTATTGTTAACATTTGAGTAGCATCCATTCATATTGAGTTGTCTCATGTAACAGTTCATATAACCCACTCTCACTTTAGGTTTTTGCAGGCAAATGAGGGAGATTTTATATTGGTCTTTGAGAGTTTTGAGTCAATCAAAGGCATTTTGAGTTCTAATACTCCTTATATTCCACGAAAGAGTGTCAATCATTTGAAAGATTTATGCAGGGAACTATGTTTTGAGTTTTGATAGAGATAGTCTTTTGAGAGTTGGACCAACTAGTCTTCCCTCTTTCTAGACCCCTGGGAGATAGATTGTTGACCTCAGCAATCTTGTTATGCTCTTGAGTTAAATTCAAGTCAGCTCCAGGATCTACTTCCATGCAATTTTTGACTATGACATCAACTTCATTTTCAGATAAGGAGGCTTGCACCTTTTGGAACTGAGTCTCTTCTACCTCTTCTTATGATTCAGATTCAAAGTGGGAGTATTTATCCACTTCATTGTCATCAAGCCGTGAACCAGACTTAATACGGGCATTCTCCATATTTACATCATTAAACTTATAATGCTCCTCAACTCTAATTCTAGAGGAATCACCAGTGAGAACAATCGAATTGTAAACTTTCGTGTTATTAGCTAAACCTTGGTTCCCATCCGGATCTTCTGGAGGCCTCACAATCATGGAGGAAGCTTGTATAGACAAGTTTTTTTAACCATTCACTCTTGTCTTGACAAGGTCGTATGTTTCAACATTCCATTGTTGGGATTGATTATAGTCTTATACTCTTGCACTTTTCACTTCCAGATTGCTTCTTCTTTTTCTCATAAGGAGGAACCACTTTCTCAAAAGGAGGACTTCCTATGCCTTCTGACCTTCCTAGTAGAAGTGCCTTTCATTTGATCATTCGGGCTCCTTACTTCTTCCGTAAGTACCGGGGGTTGCTTGATTATATCAGTAGTCAAAATTTGTTCTTTCCCTTGTGATTCTGGATTAGTAGCATTATTTTCATATGACCCTTTATGTATTTTTTTTTTTGGAAGATTTTGAATTTCTGCTAGCTCCCTTGAAAGAAGAAGATTTTTGTTGTTATTTCTGCACATCTTCCTCCCATTATTTTTGCCTACAGTGGTCCATCCTTCTTCATCTCTAATCTCCACCTCCATAGTTGAGGTATCTTGCTCCTTGTTAATTCCACTACTTTCTTCTAAATTGATGAAAATATTCTTCAAATTATACACACCGATTTTGACAGCACCTTTGAGCGGAATCGTTCTAATAAACTCAGAACGAATTATTTCGATGATTGGTCTGGTTCTAGAGAATTTCCCACAATAGTTAGACGACAAGTCTCTGCCAAAATCTCATGTTCTTCTTTTGTGAAACTGACTACTGCCTTTCCTGATAAAATCTCATATGGCATGTGCTTGAAATAGACATTCTTCTTTGAAATACTAACGGCACCTCCAATAGCAGATGCATACTTTAGTGGATTATCACCAAGATGATTGTTTTCAGTAATCATGGGGCCTCCGATTTGGTGGCGGAACATTTGTGGAGTAGGGGCATTAGGGTGAATCAGTGGGGGAAAAATAACATATTGCCTGTTGGAGGGTTCCGGCGGTGCCGGTGGGGTCCGAGACCTTTCTCGGAGGTGGAATTGGGGGCATTTACCCTAAGTGACCGTTTGTTGCTTTTAGAATGCAAATTGGGAATATCGAAAAAAAAAAGATAAAGTTAGAGAGAAGTTGCTGCCCCTGTCTCTCTCTAGAATCCCTTACCTAACTTTCCGCTTCCCAATTCCTCAAAGTGGAAAGTTAGGGTAGGAGGTTCTAACAGCTTTTAAAGACCATTAGAACAAAAAGTAAAATTGTCTTTAAAATATAAGGTGAGGACCTGAAGTAATTATTTGAAAAGTTTAATATTTTATTGGAAACTCTTGGACTACAAAAGTCCCTGGCTGTCCCCGACTTGACCTAGGGTTTTGAATATACCTGTTAATCGGGCCGGGCTAACCCGTTTACAGCCCGGTTCAGTTTGGTCCAGCCCGATTCAGCCCGGTACTATAACTTGGGGGCGGGCTGGGACGGGTTGGGTAGGGAGCAGGTTTCAAACGAATAATTTTTTGATAGCGGTGCACCGGAATCCGCTAAGCCCATTAACGGGTTATTAACGGGCTACAATCCGGTTCAGCTGGTTAATCCGTTAACGAGCTACAGCCCGGTTCAGCCCGTTTATTAACTTTTTTTTATTTTTTTTATGGACCAACTTAAACTCCTCATATTGACACTTGTATTTCTTATCTACACAAACATTTAGAAACATTATATAATTATTATGCTAACATTGTTGATGCTTCTTCTGCTGTAGATGCAAATATTCCTTCAAGTTCAGTTTCAATATCTGGGACCAGTGCTTTGGATGATAATGATGGTGTTGAAGATTATTTGATTTGGTCTACAATAGGGGAGCATCAAGCAATCAACAAACCAGTAGCAGGAATAACAATGAACTTCAATTCTACTTGCAAAAGTCAGCAGAGCCCCGCACAAAGGAATTTCTACCATTGGGTTGGTGGAGGAGCAACTCAAATCAATTTTCTGTTCTTTCGGCCATGGCTCGAGACGTGCTAAATGTGCCGATTTCAACAGTCGCATTAGAGAGCGCATTTAGCCAAGCAAGGCAGCAACTAGGAGATACCCGTTATTCATTGGGTAACAACGCTTTGGAAATTCTAGTGTGCTTCAGAGATTGGATAAGATCAGAACGACGAAATCAAGGGCGTGACGAGGTAGATGAAGCGGAGGACCAAGAAATTGGAGATATAATGGTTTATGGTTCCGATTCAACCAATGCCGAAAACCAAAAACCTCATGTTGACATGGATGAACTTACAAAAATGATGCAAAGCATGTGATGTACTATTTATTTTTTTATAATTGTTGTAAAATTTTAATTTGCAAGTTCAAAAATAACAAAATCAAAAAAGAACTTGCAACTTAATTTGAAGTATTATATATTATTCAATAAAAATATCAAATGAAAGTCTTCGGAGCTTGATCCTTACATATAGGTCTTATTAAATAATTTTTTGTAGCCACTTACTTTCAAATTTTAATTTTAACATTATAAAATTCAAATTTTAAATTTCAAATTTTAAACTTCAAAGTTTAATTCTAAGTCTTAAAAGTTTACAAACACTTAAGTAGTTAAGTATCAATAACATTGAATAAGAAAAATAAAATTTACTTAAAAAAAAAAATTCATGGCCCGCTAACAACCTGCTAACAGCCCTCTAACAACCCGCTAACAGTCCGCTAATAACCCTCTAAGTCCGAATCCGGACGGACAAAAAAAATCCAAAATAATACGGCCCGCTAACAACCCGCTAACGCAGATTTTTTTTGGTCCACCGCCTACCAACCCGACCTTTAAACACCCTGGTTTTGAAGAAGCTCTTCTTTTTTCTTGAGGCTAAGTTCCAGGTATGATGTTCTTCTTCTCTGCTCTGGATAGCCATCTTTTTTCTTCTGTTACTGCACTATTTTTCTTCTGTTACTGCGCTATTTTTCTTCTTCTTCTTCTTTCTCTGCTAATTTGTCCTAATTTCGCTATCAACCTATTTCGACCAAAACCCATTAAATCCATCGCTGAAGTCTTCAGTCCAAGGGGTTCTTAGGGTTGAGTCGAAGGACCCATGCCTTAACAGTGTCCTGAGTTTCGTCAAACGTCGATTTGACCTAAGAATTTTAATAGTATAATTCATCGTTGCAAGTCCTTTTGGGTGTCAGTGTTCTTAGGGGTTCTTAGTTGTTGTTTTTGACATTTTAATCAGCCCATCCCTGCATTCGTTTTAGTGTTGTGTTTGTAGCTGTTTGCTCCGTTTAGGTGTTTTCCGGTAGTACTGTTAACTCTTTGCTTCTTCTTGTTTTCCGTTAGTTATATCCATTCAATTATCTTCCTCACTTCCCTTCCCTTCAAGGGTACTCTTTCCGTAATACTACCTATTATCTTTCTTGCAGTTTTCACTTTTTAAAGGAATTTTACCAAGATGTCTATGCTAACAAGTGGTGCCGAGGAGGGTCTTCCTGTCAACTTTGTTGGTTTCCAGCAAAAACTTTCATCAATAGTTGAAGGTCTTGAGTCTCAGGAGGAGGAGAAGAAGATGTGGGCAATCCAAAAACTCCGATATTGTTCAATGACGGTATGGCTAAGACTGCTCCAGCTTCGCTTTTGCTGATTTTATTAAACTCGCATATCACTTTCAAATTTTTATTAACAGATGTCACTTTTCTAGTACATGCTCTAGAGTCTGGTATAGTTGTTCCTCTACTTGACGAAATTCTACGGGGAGAGGATTCATTTGTGCTCAAGGTAGAGAGTTATGTGTTGATCACCTTAAAGTGTCTTCTGGTTGTAGCTTCACACCTGCTTTATTCTTATGGTTTCTGGGTCATAGCTTGAAGCTGCTAACGCTGTCATGGACAGTATTCCTGATATGAGGGAGGTAATTGATTTGGTGATTGATAGAAACTTGGTGGTAATTCTTTTAAATCTTCTGCGTTTTCCAGCTGAAAATGTTTGTGAGCAGGTATGTTTTAAATTGGCATACCCCTCTTTTGTATAGACTGAAGATATGCTTATTAGCAGACTGATTGTTTTTTCCTTCCAACTATAGGCGATGGAGAAACTGGGAATTGTTGCTCTCTCCCCTGTAGGTCGTGGTTATGTTCTTATGTGCATGGCTTTGGATAATTTACTGCATATTTTAACCTGTTGCAACATTTTATTGCTGAGAAAAGCCACGCAGACTATATCAGTGCTTTCTAGAGGCACACCAAAAGTGCCTTTTGTGAAGGTCTGTTAATTACTGTTGAAATTTTTCTGCGTCTGCAATTATTTGGTGCAAAACAATACTGATTACAATTCAATTGTCAGGTGAAACCAGCAATCCAATCTCTTTGTTTCCTTGTTGCTTCAAATGATGATCGAGAGGTGCTGAGAAACGCATGCTGGGCACTTTATTACCTCTCTGGTGGTATTGATGTGAACTTAAGGGCATATTGCAATAGCAAAAGTAGCATCAGTCATTCTGTTGTGAGCCAGAGTGATATTATTAGGGACGTCTTTGAGGCGTATTTTTTTCCGGTGCTGCTTAAGCTCTTAGAGTGAGTGGAGTGTTTTTATTTTCCTCATTTAACCTACTTTTTCATAGCTAGCTTACTACGATTGTATCTGATATATACGCCATTCGATCTTTCTCCTTCTGTAATCGCCCCTGCCATCCATATCCTTTCAAGTACTTGCCGAGGAGATGACAGCCAGAAAGAGGTATGCGGGTCTTTAGGAGCTTTTGTGGTTGAACCCAAACACTTTGATGAACTAATCAATGAAAAAAGGAACAAATTAAGATAAGATAAAATGATTGAAAGGTAGAAACATCTTAAACAATATGTAGTGAGATTATAATTCAGCATGTTCCTGATTCAATGTCAAATTTGATGTGTTTACTGCTTAATTTCTAATAGCCTCCGAAGAACCCACCCATTTGGTAAAGCTGCCCACCATTTGATGTGAAAATAGGTTCTTTGCCATCTTCAAGTCATGGGCAAGTCCACCTTCCAGCACTGGCCATCTAGGCTGCATTTTTTGGCTACATTATGTTTTATTTTTTTTCTAATTGGTATTCACTAACTTAGCCTTTTTAGATCTTGATTTGATCTTGGGACAAAATATCTATGCATGTAAGTTGGTAATAAGAAACATGTCCTTGATTAAAAGAAAAAAAAAAGAAAGAAAAACTTGGAGTCGTCTGGATTTAGGTTGAAAAGCATCTTCAGCACTCAAAGATGTGTTTGTAAACTTCCGAACTAAATATCTCTAGGCATTGTCCAGTTTAAGCCCAAAATGATGAAAAACATATCCCACAATTGAGCAGTGATTTTGCAATGTAGAAATAGGTTGTTTGTGTCCTTGGGTTGCTCTTCACATAGAGAGCATTTGCTGTCAATGGGCATTCTTCTTCCTTGCAAATTAGACTGTAAAACATGCCTTTTTCCCTACTAACCAAGTGAAGATCTGAATTTTGTAAGGAACTGATGAAAGCCCGTAGCATTTATGGCCGTGACGTCCTTCATTGCCTGTCGGACTTGTTAGATAGACGAAAAGAGGAAAGGTTGGTATGCCTGTGTATAGCATATATTACTCTTGGGAGGAGTCAACGGGCAAAGGTATGTTGGCTGAATTGATATTTCGCTTTATCGTAATTTTTTTTTAATTTCTTTGTCCATATATTTGTTATTCATGCTTATAATTATTAGTCTTGGACTACATATACATATTTTTACTTTTTCTTCAGTTGCGCCTTTTTCGTTAAAGCTCACGCTTTAGTTGCGCTTAAAGCCCCAAAAGGACCGTAAAGCTTTTTTGCGCTTTTCGCCTTTGATAACACTGGCTGAAATCCATTGCCTGTTTGTGTTGGTGTTCTACAAGTTTTCATTTTTAAAGTGCCCATTTTCGGAGTTTGCTATTTTTTTGGTTATAAAGATTGATTCTTTCTATGCTGAAAGATTTGTGTTTTATTAGAACTCTTTCTTTTTCTGCTCTAGTTTAGATGTGTCAAGGCATTGTCTAGTGAAACTCTTATTAACCATAAAATCTTTCCATTTTTAACTGCTAAGTGGATGTCATTGAGCTGATACTGTGAATGCTGCTTAGCTAGAAGAAAGACTAGTAGAATTAAGCATCGCGTTAAGAATCAATGGATCAGAATTAACTCGCATCCAAATGGAAGAAGACAGGAGGGCTGGTATATGGTTGTGAGGGAAGATAACCATGGAAAGAGTTCTAATTGTTTCTTCTTCGTATAATTGGGTCTTTTTAAAAATGTTCTAGCGGTAATACCCAAACTGCCGTTACCAGTAGTAGACATTTTGTTTGAACTGTTAGTCTCCGTTAGTAAACCAAATATAAGCGGTCATTTTGTTTACTTAAAGGTTAAATGTGCTAACCAAATAACACAGGGACAACAACTGGAATTAGGCAATAACACAGGGACAAAAGCTGCTATTTCCCTTAAAAGAAATGAAAAGGTTAGGGGGTAAATCATAAAAAATAAAAGGATAAGGGTGTGAATAAAAAATAGTGCATACATTAGGGATGCAAAATAGAAAGAACTCTCAAGTAGCTGGATATGAGAGTGAAATAGTTGGTGTAGTTGGAAATAGAAATTGGATTTTTGAGTTGTGGATATGTTTTGTCATAGCCCTCACCCCCACCCCCACCCACAATTTTTTTTCTTTTAATGATCGACTTTTCAGTTGATGAAACCTTCTCTACGTAGCCATTTATCTAAATAGTTGTCGGTAATTTTTGAGCAGGCTGTAGTTGATGCTGCTGGATTAATAGACCGTCTACGCCAACTGGCTAAGGCTAGACAAATGGACGTTGCTGCTGCTGCAATTTCAAATGCTATTATCAGTATCAGTGATGAGTCATACATCAAGTCTGAGACCTCTTTTTCTCGGTTCATCTCTCTGGTATACTGATATTTTTACCAACTCTGATGTTTTTTTCGTGCTTTTGGCTTTAGTGAATTGGTGGATTGCTGCATAGGTCCTCTGTGTCATTATCTTAACGTTTTTGGTAATAAAATAATTTGCACCATCAGTCTAAAAGGAGTAGAAAACATGTATGGGGAAAAGCACAAGGGACCTGACTGCACTAATATTTATGCTAAGCGGATCGAAGAGGCTGGGGGATTGAAAAATCTTAACGGCATGTGTTGTTCTTTGACCATGGGACTCCAGGCTTATGAAATATTGAGTAAATACTGGCCTGCCAACGCAACCTCATGCAAATGTGTCTTGACATATGATACAATCCCACCTTTGAAGACTTATTTTAGAAGAAGACGTGAAAGAGGAAGTAAGATTTGTGCAGCTTTGACCAAGTCCAACTTCCCTCCAGCATGAAGAAACTGCCTCATTAATTCTCTCCAGCAGTTACCAAATATTCCAACCTACTATCTGATTAGGCTTTACATTTTTCTTGTTATTTTAAACAATATGTATTCTATAAATATCTAGTCAGGATTAGTTTTAAGGGCATTGTGAATGTTTGTCAATATTAGTATCTGGGAGTTTTGTCCGCTCCATACGGACAGATTTGTTGGTTGTAAGTTGTGTTTAATATTCTTGCACAATCTATTGCCAATAGTAATTTCCTTACCTTAATTTCTGTCATAAATTTTCAGCATCTAACAACATACTTTCCTTCATATGACTTAATAACCTGTTCTTGACATAATTTCCATCTTCATATGACAGAGATGGCGTAAAAGGGGGGAGGGATTACCTGGTCTTGACATGACAGTGATGGAGTAAAATCGAAAGGAATAACTTTTTGACAAATTTCTCCATTATTATATTTATACATTTCTACTTCTACCATCTTATAAATGAGAACCAGTCACCTCATGGTGAACATGCTTACCAGCTGCAAGGGTCCCATTGGAATCTTAAATTGTTTGTTTTGCGCTCTAAGGGTTCGTTTTGTGACTATTCATGTCATCATGTGTGCATTTTGGCTTGAATGGACGAAAAAGTGAATTTATTCGCATTTAATGCCTTTCTTGTTCCAGCCTTAGTTTTATTGGGGTCCGTTTTTGTGCCTTATCTTTGTATTGCTTTAGTTTCTTAGTTTTCCTTAATTCACTATACTGTGAACCCGTTTTGATAAATCCTCCCGCAACACGTACTACAATGCCACAGGTACCAACTCATGCTTGTCTGGTGCTGTTTTGATTTGTTAATCTACTACCCAGTTTTAATTTAAGTGACGGTTTAAATCAAAATGGAGTTTAAGAAAATCATGAAACTATTGAAACCATTGATTTAAAATTTGAGACTTGTGGCCGTAAACATGTGGTTATCATAGCTTTCTAGGAAATGCTAAGTTGTTTCTAAATGTAGAACTGTGTTATTCTTTTTGGATGTTTCTCGGGACCTCTGCTCTAAGGCTGAGCATATATCGGGTAAAATCGATAGCCCGAAATCAATAAAAGCTTATTGGATTATTAATATCGGGTTATTGGGTAATGGTTAAATAACAATTTTGTGTTATTTGACAATTGGATTATCAGTTCGGATTTTGGTTTGCCCAATTTTATTAACGGTTTAGCCGGTAATACAATGAAGCTAGACGTTAGAACGAGTACATGACTAAAGCAAGAGTGAATAAGTGGTAATTTGCACCTATATTAGCCTTAGACCATCTTTACTAAACATCATTTGCGTCCCTTGAATGAGAAAACTGAACGAACAAACTGTTAACTTTTCTTTGTCTTTAGAAGCTATAAGCCCTTAAAGACTCACTAAATCAATGGTCATTTGTGTCTTTTCATGTATAATCTTAACTGCTAAACTAAAAATTTTGACTAGGTTCGCTACATTTTATATACCACTTATATATGAGTGAGGCGGGAGGTGGGGCGGGAGGTGGG